CCGCCAGTTCCCCTTCGTCATCTCCTGTTTTCATTGCAGACAGCAAAGTTCTGTAAGGCATCAATGTGCAGTTTATGAATCTCTGTATAGAACTTTCAGATCTTTCTGCTGAAAATATTTAGGCAAAAAAAAAAGAGAGAGGTGGGCAAAAGGTTTTCCAAACACACAGACTTTACCTTTGGCAGAGAGCATCAGTGGATCATAATCTGAAAGCCTGCGTCACATTTCTGGGAAACAGAAACCAACATTGCTCCCCTGTGGATGGGCTTGTCCTCTACACAGTGTTAAACTCCTTACCCTCTCAAGTTCATCTCAGTGCTTTCAGGCAATACTTCAGGAAGGAAATCCAGTGTCCTGGAGAAAAGATGCTCGAACTTGACAGAGTTTGCACATGATTTGAGAGCAATCCAAGCAGAGGGTTTTAGAACAGGGGCTCCTGCTTCAGGTAACTCTGGCTTTAAGATCTCTTAGAGCTGAAGGACTTGGGAGTGCATTAATTTTTCATTGCTGCTATGACAAATCGCCAAAATTTAGTGCCTCAGTAGAAGATAGCTATGGGCTTATAGTTTAGAAAGCCAAAAGTTTAAAATAGGTCCAGGAGTACAATCCTTCTGGAGAAACTAAAGGAGTTTCTTTGCCTTTCTCAGCTGTCAGAGGTGCCTGCATTCTTTGGCTCATGGTCCCTCTACAATCTCAGAGCCAGCAGCACAGCATCTTCTGTCCTGTCTGACACTCTGCTTCCCTCTTACAAGGACCCGTGTGATTACCTATGCCAATTCCACTAACCCAGGATAAATCTCCACATCTCAAGCTCTTTATACCTATTGCCATATAAGGTTCCTTTCATGTATACTTATAGGTTTCAGGGATTAAAAACAGACATTTTAGATGTTCTTTAGTCCACTTATTGCAATGAGTATATTGCTGTGCATTTTTGCTTCAGTTTTTTTCTGAGCCAAAGTTGATATTGCCCAGGCTCATTTAGAACTCCTGAGCTAAAGAGATCCTCCTAACTCTGCCTCTCTCCCAGTAGTTGAGACAAAAGGTATGTGCCATTGTGCCTCAGTATCTTATTTTTAACATGAGAACTGCAATAATTTCTATGCTATTCAGTTGTAAGAATTAAACAAATTTGCCTACAGTGTTATAGATCACTACTATAAAAATCACTGTATTAAGCTTTGGATAAAAAGGTAGTCCTAATCCCTGTATGGAGAGAGAATGTAAGTGAGTAATCACAAAAATAAACATGTGCTTGCAAGCTACAATTAGAGCTGGTAGAGAATAGTAAAGAATATGTTGGCAAACTCAGGACAGTCTGAGAAAGTAGCTTTTAATTCAGATTTTATGAATGACATGGAATTGCCTAGTTGAGATGAAAATGTATGGAAGAACATTTCAGAAAAAGGAAAATATATGCACAAAGTTACACAGTAGGAATAAGCGTGGTGTATTTGAGGAATCTGAAGGTGTGGGAAGAAATGAGGAAGGAAGATCCTCAGATATAGTCAGAGAGCACAACTGCTCATACTCAGAAGGGTTCTGTGAAGTTGCTGGGCTAATCCAAAGTGCAGTGGCATGAGAGTGCTCTGATGGGTTAGTAGGATATTACTCTGGGTGCTGTGTAGAGAATGCCAGGCAGGAATACCAGGAAGGAGACTTGGTCTTAGGGTAAAATGTCACAAAGGACAAAGTGTCACAGGGTAGCTCCCAAGATCACTAACGCTGAGGAAATCAGCAGGCAGGTGATTTGATGATAACCCAGTCAATGCCTTGGGCGGAATGAAATGGGGTCAGATGGGGGAAGATCTCAGCCCACACTGGAGATGTTCTGAAGCACAGAGGAGCCCTGAGTTGGGACAAAGGAAGGGGTGGGATTTTGACCCTCATGTTTATCAATCACTGGGTGCGGGTGTTCTAAGAAGAGGGAAGGGAAGCCCCATAAGTAATATCAACACCTTTCAAGAATGGTGGTCCCCAAAGGGCTGACCACTGAGGACAGGGGCAGTTCAGAAAGGGAGTCCTGGGTTGTACATCACAACATCCTGCAAATGGACACAGGCCCCAAACAGTGGTAGTGAAAATGGACAGAAAGCGAACAACTTTGAGAACTATTTTGCAGCTAGAATTACAAGAACTTTGTGATAGATTATAAATAAGGGCAGAGAAAATATGACACATCAAGAATAATAGCCAGCCTCTTACATTTTACAACAGAAGAGAAATATGCACCATATTTTTATACAGTTGTATTGATGAGTTAGATAAATAAATGAGTCTGTGCCTCAGAAGACAGGTCTAGGCTGGGTGCCAAAATTCTGGAGTAAACGATGAGCAGGAGGTAATCCAAAGCATGGGCCCACAAAATAATCGCCTAAGGAAGAAGCATAGCATGGAACTGATGAAGCCTTGAGCAGTGATGATTATAGTAAGTCATGTAAATTTCTTGTCATAATGTTTGGTATAGAGTAAAAACCCAGTAAATCCTCATTAACATAATCACTTTTTTACTAGCTACAAAAATGGACTGCGAAAAGCTGTGTTATATAAGCCAGCAAATCCATAGTCATAGACATCAGAACATAGGTTCTTCCACAGAAAACCTGGAACACACATCCGCTTCCATGCTTGGGGAGAGGGAGGGCAGCGGATGAGAGCACGAAGAGCACAGAAGCGGCCTTGGAAGACAGCCTGGGCTCCTATCTGCCTTTAATTCCTGGCCATTGAATCCTTCAGCAATCTTTTGTCTTTACCTTCACAATAGGCCCAGAATTGGAAGGAAACCAAGAGATGGACGAAGAGGGGAGGAAGGGGAAGGGAAGGGAATAGAAAAAGAATTAAGATGTATTATGTACATGTACTAACTCCCCGTAATGAATACAATCACCATGTATTGTAAATACGTACTAATAGAAGTTTTTAAAAATAGGCTCAGAATTGGACTAGAATTGGATTCACTCTCATAAAACTTCTTGCCTGAATTCTTTTTGCAGTGTTGGAAGTTCAACCCAGAGCCTGTCATGCCAAGCAAGGGCTCTGCCACTGAGCCCTTGTATTATTTTAAAAATCTCCTAACTTGTATTCTTCTTCCTCCCTTTCTGCTTGCCTCCCCAATTTACTCTCTACTAAGAAAGAACAGTTATTATTTAAAATTATAAGTGAAATCATGCCACTTTTTTAATCTGAATTCCTCAGAGACTAACTACCTCATATAGAGCAAGAGCTAAACCCAGCATCAGAGATGGAAGCCCCCACACTCTGGCCTTGCCTCCCTGTGGCTGTTGTTTTGCTTTGTTTTGTTTTGTTTTATTTTTTGTTTGTTTTGTTTTTGTTTGTTTTGTTTTGTCTTTTGGTTTCACTACAAAGTTCAGGCTGGCCTTAAACTCACATTGTAGCCCAGGCTGGCCAATAACTTGAAGTGATCTTCCTGCCTCAGCCTCCTGAGTGCTAGGATTACAGGCATGCATCACCATACCCAGCCCAACCAAAATATCTAAATGTTTTCAAATGGTATTCTTAGCATCACTAAATATTAAATTTTCTAGTAATCTTTCATTTATTCATTTTTAGAACTGGATGTTTTTTTGGAGGGGTATCAGGAATCAAACTCAGGACATCATGCTTGCCAGGCAGCAGCTGTGCCACTGAGCTAAATCCCTAACCCTACTTTCTTAGCCTGGCTGCCACCCGCCCCCTCTCATGGCCAGCTCTGCGGTCTGCTCCACGCTCATCCTTCATTATTCTTCACGCACTTCACGTGTGCTCGGGCCTCCTCACTTGCTGTGCCCTCCCCGTGACAGCCCTCACACTCTTACACAGCTGCCTCAGTGCACCCCTCTTTTCCCTGACAGGACAGATACTATACACGTATGTTTTTCTAGTGTCTATTTCCCCCTGGAATGTAAATTTCATTAAAGTAGGGATTCTTTTGCTTTGTTTTCTTTTATTTGGTTTGTTTGATTTTGTGCTATATTTCCAATGTCTAGAAAAGTGTAGACTGATAATATGGCTTTAATAAGTACTGACTGAATGACTGAGAGAGGATAAAGCAGTGAGTGAATGCATACACAAGAGGCTCTTCCTCAGCTTCCAAAGAGAGGTAGCTTCTGCACCGTCTCTCCATGCACATTTCCCAGACCTGACTGGAACACAGGAGGAGAAAATAAAGACCTGTGTCGCTCCCTTGCAGGACGAGAAGGTGGACCAGGCTTTGGGTTCGGGGAGAGAAGCTTCTGCCGCCCTCTGAAGCTGACACATAGCACGTGGTATCTCCACACACTGGGGGCACTGGCTGCCTAAATCTTGTGGAAGACAATAATTGTGACTTTAAATCCTTTTGAAAAAGATATTGCTCTCAGTCTGGGTAATTCCAAAAGAAACCTTGAAATGAAAGGTCAACTCATTCCTTTTAGGTATCAGATACACAAAGCGTGCGTTTAACTTTCCCTGCTTTTTTGATGGCTATTGTTCACATATGTATAAACTTAAGGAGATATTATTTACTGCTATTATTACTAAACTACAGTTTTATTCAGTGATTACAGATAAGCTCTCGCTGACAGTCTCTGAGGTTATGATTTTTGTACAAAATACTGACCGAGCACAGCCTAATACCTATCAGCAGACTTACTCCAGATTGCTTTGCTTGATCATTAAGCTCACTCTCAATAGCTCTGCCACTGCCCAGCTGGGAACATCCAAAGGGCACAGTCGTGAGCTGCCCAATGTGTGGGCTGCACTGGTACAGCTTCTCCGGTAACCGAAGGTTTCCTGAGGTTGGCGGATTTCCTTGTTTCAATTGCTGTTTGGAAAGACTGTGAAAGAATCAGTTACCTCCTTGGTGTCTTATCTTTATACTCTCCTGGTTTTCACTCTTGTTAAATGAGCTCAAGTCTGCATAATCCTTTTGCTAGGTAGGATGTAAAAAAAAAAAAAAAAAAAAAAAAGTACCAACAGCTCTGGCTGCGATCTCCCAGTGCAGCTCCTAGCAGTGCTTTCCTCCAGAACAGGATATTGGCATCTCAACTGTTAAAGCTGTCTGTGACTGTTCTTCCTTGAGATCATTCTGATGTCACCAGTGTAATCTGAGCTGGGAGCTTTTGTTCACACTTTAAATAGCAGTGCTGGAATGATTTTGCCACAGACTCTCTGGAGAGCCTGGATCCGAATTCCGGAAGATCCCCACATCAATGAAAGGAAAGGGGAGCCAGCAAGCCGGCATGTCCACATCGCTGCGAGTCAGCCCGTCCATCCATGGCTACCACTTTGATACAGCCTCCCGCAAGAAAGCTGTGGGCAACATCTTTGAGAACATAGACCAAGAATCGCTCCAGAGGCTCTTCAAAAACTCTGGAGACAAGAAAGCAGAGGAGAGAGCCAAGATCATCTTCTCCATAGATCAAGATTTGGAGGAGAAAACTCGAGCCCTGATGGCCCTGAAGAAGAGGACGAAGGACAAGCTTTTCCAGTTCCTGAAGCTAAGGAAATATTCCATCAAAGTTCACTGAGGACAACAGGACAGATGGGACTTCATCCGAGAATGAACCCTGAAGGAGCCAGTGAGACTTACAGACGCCGAGGGAGGCAGTGCGTTGTGGCTGCCTGACAAGCTTCTGTCCCGTCAGAACTCCAAGGTGGAAAGGGACAGAACTGACCGGCCACCGGCAGCACTGTGCTGTCACAGTGGCGAACAGAATGCTCTCAGCAAGGATCTGAGAACTCTTCCTGCTGGCCAGGACCGGAGCCGGCGGAGCAGGCTGACCCGGTCGGGAGACCTGAGCCAGAAGACGCTGGAAGACACGCGTGCAGGGTCGCTCTCAGCCTGGGACTCAGACTCAAAAGGACTGCTTTTCTTCCTTTTCTCCTTTTCCTTCTCCGTTTCTGTCTCCTCCTCCTCCTTTTTTTTGTTTTTTGCTTGTTTGATATTGTTTTGTTTTTAAAACCAAACCAGGCAGGCAGAGGGAAGAAGAAGATAGAATACCAAGCATAAAATGTTTACTGAATATTTTATCTGAATGTAAACTATGGTCAAGCCTCAATGTTATCTATTGGTATCAACTTTTAGAGATCAGTTATTGATTATTTATTTGCACTTATTACAATGCCTAAAAAAGTGCAACACATAAGTGATCAGTGTAAACGGAAGGAATGTGGTATCTTCTGTAGCTCAGTAAACCTAACACCCCCTCCTGGTTTGTTGTAAAGAGTTTTTTTCATACATTTCAAGCAGGTTGCACAAACCTAAAATAATGGGCTTCTTTATAAATCTGAAGTACTGTGAAAAAAATTTATAATTTTTTATCTTCCACTAATGCTAAGATATAATCTAATTATATTTCTTACAGTTACTGTAATAAGCATTAGGAAGTGAATATGATATAGTTTATAAAGATGCTATGGTTTCTATAATTTATTATACCTGGCAAGTGATATGCAACTCTATAATAAATTATTATAAACTCAGCTGTTCTTGGTCTGTGATGTTTGATCTCAAAGGAAAAAAATAAGATGATAAATTTTGAATATAATATACTTTTCTAAAGAGTGGAGTCCAAAAATAAAAGCTGACTTTAAAGTAACTTTTATATTAATTACCAAACCTTTTCAAAATAAATTCTCATGCCAAATGTGTGGGAACTTTTCTATTCATACTTTAAAATACATGATATAGATATATAAATTCATAGACTGCTCATCATCATTGCCATTTATGTAACCATTAATGGTGAATTTTAAAAGGCTTTCTCTTTACATTTTGGAAATCTTTCCTCTGTGATTACAGTAGCTATGTAGGTGTATACATTTATTTCTCCTTAAACTATATATTTTAGGAATAGAGTTTGTTATTATCAAGATTTTGTGAGTTATCACTTTTTATTTAACATAAGCCAATATGGGTATAATATACTATATTTTTACTTATTTTCTCATAAAATTATAATACAGTATTCCTAAGAAGATAAACATTAATACCCATTGTGCTTTACCAACAAAGAAATAATAATTCCCTAGAAATTAAGCTTTTCAGAAATAATTGCAAAGCTTTTTTAAAAATACCAGTGACAATAAATCAAAACAATTAAACTACCTAAAATCTTGTCAGAGGATTATAAGTCAGGATTTTAATCACAAAATTTTTAAAGGAAATGAACTGATAAGATCTTCATGCAACTTTTAACTCATTTACTAAAGATGTTAAAAATGACTGCAGTAAAAAGTTGATTTTTTCAAGGACACATCTATGACAAGCATGAATTATATGTAGAAGTGTGTGTGTGTGTGTGTGTGTGTGTGTGTACGCATCTGCATGTACTAGGAAAGAGCCTCATACCCTGATAGGCCACATCAATGAGAAACTCTAGGAATTTTCTCTTCAAAGATTGAAGCACATCTTGGCTGTGAATGTAGTTCACGGGTTATGTTTATTATGCACCTCAATAACTCCTCGCTGCGCCACAGAAAGGCTCTGTCCAGTAGAGTACAATGCATAGCTGATTCTCTTTTCCCATCAGCATGGATCTTAACTGTCTTCTTCACAATTTTATGACTGTGTCCTGATTTCAAGAACAAAACATGGGGAACAAATAAAAGGATTAATTCTCATCAGTGCAGGGAATACATGGTCATCAAGTAGCTTACTACAAGTAGTTTACTACAAACATGCTGCTTTCACCTTCGAGGAGAACAAAGGGTGGCATCACTGTGAATGCACAACTGTGATATTCGCTTCACAACATATTTATTATTTAGTGCAGATGAAAAGACGCAGTACTAGAACAGGGAGGACTAGTTCAGTTCAATTCCATCTACAGCATAGGGGTGGCCCGGTAGATTCCAAAATGTGTCATTTAACAGAAGAAATAAGAACAGTAGGAGCTAAATAGCTCTTTAATAGCATTTGTCTCATTAGAACCATAATAATATTAGTTAAATTCCAGAGTGTTTACTATTGGCCAATTTTCTAAATTTGTGTGTGTGTGTGTGTGTGTTAAATTGAGTACTAAGACACAAAGACTAAGAGCATGTATGTGTAAGCATATGCATTTATACACATATATGTGTAGATGCTACCTGGGGAAGATGTTTCCGTTTGATAACTTTAATTGTGTCAAGCATTTCTCAAAGCAGCGTTTCCAGGCTGCAGTTACAGTAACCGTGTTTGCCCCGACCAAAGGCCATGCTGAGTACTCCTTGTCAGCCCAGAGGATGAGTCTGGATTGCTCGCTGGCAAGTGAGAAGCCATGGGTTTGCTCCACCACTCACCACTCACACGGCTCATCACTGACTCCCAGTAAAAAGTTATGCCTATTGGATGTGATTTACTGCGAGAAAGGCCTGGGGTATGCATCTCACTATTTTTCTCCCATCGCCAGGGTGATCAGACGATGTCACTGATATTTCCCTGGAAAGTCTTACCTTCTGTAAGAACATGATTGAGCTGTGATCTGGGGCTGTGTGTCCCTTCAAGGCACTTTATCTACCCTTGGAGACTCCCACATGGGGAACTGTGTGGTTCCCCGGAGTGGCCTGGCATTCATCACCTCCTTGCTCAGGCACCAGGAAGTGCAGAGCAGCATTTGTGCTTTAACTCTATCCACGCACACAAGCCTGGTAAGCACCTAGGAGTATGGTCCAGTATGGCAGAATAGATCCTTATTTTCCTTCGCAGAGGAGTTAGAAAATTCCCTTAAATGAATAAAATAGAGTGAGGTAGGAATTTAAACAGGATGCTGTGAGAGGATGCGAGAGAAAGTGTGTGTGGTAGGGTGCATGTCTGTGCATAAGTGTGTATGTGCCTGTGTCTGAGTGTGTTTGTGTGTGTTCCTGTATGTCTGTGTGAGGTACATATTCATGAGTCTGCATGTCTGTGTGGCTCTGTGAGTGTGTCTGCGAGCATGTATCTATAAGGTTGTGTGTAAATGTCTGAGTGTCCATGTGTGGGTGTGTGGCTGTGCGATTGTGTACATATTCATGTGCCAGTGTGTCTAGGTGTGTCTGAGTATGTGTGTGTGTAAGTGTGTACATGTGTATGCAGCTGTGTGCATGCCTGGGCATTAGCAGCAGAATGTAGGAAGTTTTGCCCAGCCTAGGGAGATACTGAAAGGTTCCACAGAGAATTTACCCCCGTCCGATGTAGGATTTGGACGCATAGGTATGGCCTTTGATGGGGGAAGAGGAGGCAGGAACGAGTAGACAGAGTTTAAGAGTTTGTCCTGAAGGGAGCATGCGGAACTTTAAAGAGAGGACCCACATTTACTGCCTCTCCATTGTATACTGGGCCACAGGAAAGGACATGATTAATATTTTGAACAATAATATCATATCCAACATTGAATTCATGGTTGGACTCTATATATTCTTTCTACAACGCAGTTACTGGGCCTTAGCAATCCATAGTGAGCAGGTATGTGGCTAGAGATGAGACAGAAAAGATCATGAAGCAAAGATCAGACTAGAGAAAGAGCAAAATAGCATATTAAATGTTTATACTTAAGCCTTGTGATGAGTCTTTTTTTTTTCTTGTGATGAGTCTTATCACTTAAAGAATCTTATGAATCAGGGCTACTAGACTCTCTCTTCACTAGGATAAATCTTCGGCAAGCAAAGCCTGCTAATATTTTAGCAGTTATCACAGGTACATGCTGACGTGCTCTATCCCAGCATGTACACACACTAAAGGTGGGGATGGGTCAGTTCAGGGTGGGCAAACACTGCCCCACGGAATCTTGCAAGTAGACATCCGGGCCTGATAAAGTTTCACAGGGGTTTACTAAAAGGGAATCACTGAGCATGGTGGCATATGCCTGTAATCCCAGCACTTGAGAGGCTGAAGCAGGAGGATTCCTGAGAGGTCAAGGCCAGCATGGGCTCTTTAGTGAGTTCAAGGTCAGTCTGAACTACATAGCAAGACCCTGTCTCAAAAAAATAAATAAAAGTGAAAATAAAAAAGGGTAGGAGTAAGCAGAATACTTTGTTTTAGCCAGTTTCCCCCATCACTACTTCTGACACACGCACACCCTCCCATGCACACATGTTTACACACTCACATATACTCTCAGGCACGTCCATACATGCACACACTCACAATACAGTCATGCTCACACACACTTTCACACTCACACACACACTGCCGACACACTGTCCTGTAGGAGCACAGACCTTCCCCTCTCGACCCCCTACCTTCTCGTCTGTGGCCAGAAGCAGCACGGAGAGCAAACACCATCAGGCCGAGCCTGGAATTCTGGGTTTTTTCCAAACTCTGACTTGGACAAATTCCTATTTTATCTCTGGTTTCATCTATAAGAGAAAAAAAGGTTGACTACATGATGATTGCGACCTCTTTCAGTTCTCGCCTATACCAATGGAAATCATAACTTCCATGAAACAGCCTTACAGGACAGGACTTCTTTGTGATCAGCTGGAATTTCGTGTATGACAGGAATCTCTGTTAAATACAGCAAAGAGCAATTAAAAGCTTTTGATCATCAGCAGTGGCTGCCAGAGGCAGAGGCATAATGGGAGGGCAATTGCTCTCTGAGGACCGCTTGTGCTCTAGACCAGGCTGTCTTTGCTCTGCGTGGTTGGGGCTACTTTGCCTCTTCCGCAGCCGTCCGGTTACAGAGTCACTGTGGCAATCTCCACTGCTGGCAAGAAGCATAATCATCTGTGAAGTTTTAAAAATAGGCACTTTGGGTTCCAAACATTTTGGGCCTCAAGCCCAGGACAAGATATTTTTATAAAGCCCCACAGTCACTGGTAAAGAACAACTGACTTAGCAAAACACTTTCAGGTAACACTGGATCTCCTATGACTGGCAATTCATGATGTAAGACCAAGGAAAAATACTTGATTTCATGCCATTAGAATTTTTCTTAACATAGTAATTCTGTCATTCATTGAAAATTACAGCCAAAAAGATCATATTTTGAGAAATCTATAGTTACTTTTGATTTTAATAACTGCAACCTGTGTAGATCAATGTTTTTGGTTCTTTACTGGGGTGTGTTTTCCTTCAATTTCAGCCTGATATAAATCAATTGAATATATGCATGATTTATTAGGAGAAAATGTCTTCTTTCTACCACTGCTTTTTTTCTTATTCTCCTGAGATCTGTTTATTTTTTATGGCCAGGTTTTCTCGGCAGAAAGGTTTCAGAGAATCCTGCAGATCCTGCACAGTCCTAGGAGCCACAGTACCTGAAATGCCATTTATTAGGAGGATCTTCCTCACAGCTACTGCAGAATGCCCGGGGCAATGCACTTGTTCCCGGGCCTACTCCTATCAGAACCTCCCAAGGAACTTTAAAATCCTGGCCTCTGGGTTTAATGAGTCTCAGTTTCTGGCACTCGGCACCTGCTATCTGCATTCTGCAATCACTCCCAGCTGAGCTGCTGCTCTGCCAGGTTGGAAACTGCTGACCTAGATTAGTCACAAGCTGAGCTCGGTGTGAGGACCCAGCTCATCCCAACCTATCCACATCAGCCTAGGCGAACTGCAAGTCTCAGCACCATATTTATTAGACCGTTGACCTAAGAGGTGATTGGTTCCTTATCGTGGAACACATTATTCTTATCATTGCTAATCCAAATAATGCCATTAATTTTACTTTGCTCTAAATTCTATTTGTTCTGAGAAATCTTACCTGATCACAGCAGTCCGCACTGATTGCACTATTATCAGAATTCCCATAAAGCATATATCTTAGCAATCACAAAATATCTTCCAAAAGAGTGGCAGGCTTTGCTCTGCTTTAATATATGTACCACTGCCTGAGATTCATTTCTTAGACCACACAGCTTAGTCTTTTAGAAAGGAAGATTTAGCGTTCATCGCTAGGACTTGCTTATGCAAGTCAGTATATTAGCCCTAAACAAAACACTTGCCTCGTAGCAGCCACTGAGATAACATGGTTTTGATGTTAAGGGAGAGAACAGTGGAAAAGGGAGATAGAAACCAGGGGTAGCAGATATCTGAAATGGGTAAACAAAAAACAACAAAGATGGTGCGGTGTCGGCGGTGCCCTGAAGGAGACATCTGCCCTGATTTTCTCAGTCCTGGTCTTGGCTGTTTGAGAACTTCATAGCTTGATGTGCACCACCAAGTGCTGCATGTGGAAAAGACAAAAGGAGCAGGGTACAGGGCTTATAAAGTCCCGAGTTCAAGGCCATTTACATTTACTAGTTACTTGTAACTAGTTACTAGTTTTGAGTAAATTAATCTCTCTCAAGCTCACTTAATCCTCTGCAATACAGACATAATAATACTAACTGTATTCATTTGCTAGGGATGGGAAAACGAAGCGCCACTGACCGAGTGGCTTGAACCACAGGTGTGTTGCTTCATCGTTCTGGAGGTGAAGAGTTTGAGAACAGGTTGGTTTCCTCTGAGCCTCTCCACATAGCTGGTAGACAAGCCTTCCCTTGTGTCTCACCGGTCTTTTCTCTGTGCATGTCTGTGGCTTGATCTCTTTCTCTAAATTGGGGTGTTCAAAAGATACAGTGAATGTTTGGATTTTTAAAAATTTGTTACAGCAAAAGACACATTACCATTACCCCCCTGGGCGCCACTCCCCCAGTTTAAACACATTCCTCCCATCGTTCTTTCTTGTCACTTTCCGGAAGAAGTTCTGGAAGTTCTCTGTCATGACTTTACAAAATGTGATCAAAAATAAGGTGAATGCTGCTGCTGATTGTCACCAACAGGAAGGGATGTCTGTGAAAACATTCTAGTGCATCCTCATTTACCTTATTCACTGGGCCTGTTACTGTGATGTCTGGATCTTCTGATTCAGCACACTGAGGCAGCCAGCATAGCACAGCCAAAGACTCTCAGGAAAGAGGCCCCCAGAACTGCTTGAGAAGGTGACTAGAATGATCAGGTAAGCATGTCAAGGCAAGGGGGAGTATTTTGAGAGGAATTCATAGTAACGTGTCTTTTACTATAGTATTTTTTTAAAATTTAAAAACACACCTTATTTTTCAATCACACCTATGCAATAGTCACAGTTGATTAAGGCTCACACCGATGATCTTATTTTAACTTTATTACATTTCTCAAGGTCTATCTTCAAATACAGTTACATCCTCTGGGGGTTAAAACATGAATTTTGATCAGGGGGCACAACTCATTTATAACCTCTTGATTGGAGTGAGCACAACATAAAGTAGTGTATGTGAAAAAGCTCAGCCATATTCTTTGCTCCTAGTTAAACATTTACAAAGCTTCTAACCCAGAGCCTAACATGGGGTAGGTTCTTCATAAGTTTTTGTGATCTTTTTTTAAAGTACTGACACACCTCACTTAAACATGAGGCACATGTTTGCAGTATCAACTTGTTTTAATCTCTGAAATCAGCCTCTGTATCCTTTTTGTCTCTTGAGCATCTCAGAGCAGGCACCCATCAACAGTCCTCACTAACTGCAGCATGTCCTAAGCCAGCACTATGGGGAAGGAGCCGTGGTGATGCTGATGTCCCACCAGGGCTCATTTCTGCCGCTGAGTTCTTTGTTTGCTTTTCATTACATGCATGGCTTCAAAAAGTGCTGTGGAAGTGAATGACTTCTCTGGACATCTGGGAGTCGAGTTTGCTCGTAGTGTCTAGTCCTCTTTTTCTTGGTTTCTGCACTTGTAGTTAGCAGTCTAAGACTGGAGCCTCCTATCCTCCTCCCAGACTCCGAGTCCCACTCTGACCAGTCACTACCCCACTCGGGTGTTTCATTTGGATGAGTGTGAAGAAGCGAGAGACAATGCTGGACACAAGCAAAAACCCCATGGAACCTAAAAGCAAAAGGCTGTGCTGATCACAAGAGTAATTCTATACCTCTAAGCTGGTATGGTAAGAATTTCAGAGTCAATGGATGGCTTAGGGAGTTCTTTAATCTGTCCTTGAGCAGTGTGAGATACTGTGGGGTACAACCTCACTCTGTTGTTAGGGACCACATGCTGTTGGGTACTGTCTAATTTTAATCAGTAAAAAACCTTAAGTGTGTGTTAATATGATGCTGAGTAATTATTTAATGAAATTAATCAACTAAAATAAATCAGCCAAGCAAGCATAAGATATTATAGGAGCAAAGTAACAATCTGCCTGGTATTTAGCTTTAAATTATTCCTGGTCAAATTGCACAGGTATGAGCTAGTGTGTGTTTTTATTACTTCATTTAGAACATGGGGACATTCACATTTGCACCTTGCTTGTGGGATCAAAAGAGCAAATGATTCTCCAGTGAGTATCTAGTTGGCATATGGATTCTTCTTCATCTAGAAAGACATCATAACCCGAATCCTATACCCAACTGAACAGATTTGACACCTATTTCAGTACCTATTCCTTTGTAGCTATTTATTTGTGATTCTAAACTGATATAAATGGTTAATTTAACTAATTAAAAGCTCAAAGTTGCCATCCAACAGATTTGTAAAACTTCTAGACAAAGGAGACATGCTGGTTGCTTGGGGAGGTCCAGGACATCTAGATGTGCCCCCACTCAAAACTTTGTCTTTCCATGAAGAAGAACCAAAAACTCAGTACTCCAGGCACCAGGTTGAGAGACATGGGAAAATTCATTCATCCTAACCGAACTTGCAGTATGCAGTGCAGACAAAGGCCTTATGTTATTCACTGATGGGAGAAATTTAACTGCCAAGAGGAAGTACCAAGTATAAGTAAACCTGAAGAGAGAGCCAGGCCTCTGAGGACGGATTCAGCCTGGCCTTGATAAGGTTTGAAGAACTAGCAGGCCTCTCTCAGCTGCTGGTTCCATAACATTTAGCTGGGCCACATAGCAAACCATCCCAATACTTTGTGACCTACAATGACCACCACTCTATGTAGCTCAGGATTCTGTGGGTGGTGTGGGTGTCCTGGCCTACTTGCCTGTCTTCTGTAACACTCCCCTATCCACTGTGGGTAACCCAACTAGAAGGTTGGGTGGTGGCTGAGTGATATGAGAGGGACTCATGGGTCTTGTGATTAGCATGCTCTTGGCCAGGGCATCTTTGCACTTTTCTACTCTTTTATGCGGTCTACCTCTTGAGCTCTCAATCACAACTGTGCTAGAGAAGCATTTGTCAAATCCCATCTTTTTCTACACCCTACTTAGAGACACACGCTAACTGTCCATCTGCTTGCTGATACCAGCCTTCTTAGGAAATGGTGAACCATCACCTTACTCACTAGAAGAGTCCCGCTTCAGGCCTTTATCCCTGAGGTCAGACCTAGATTAGTTCATGAAACTCAATATTTTTTAAGAATGTTTTTATGTTTAGCTAATTCAATTCACAAATTTCAGTCACTCCTGTGGAAATACTAATTTCTCCCATGAAATGTGAATGTTACAAATGTAGTATTCAGAGAATATTCATGATTGTTTTTCTGAAATTCCTTGAGAGGGCATTCTCAGTCTCACGTACCGAAGACAGAGCCAAGTCTTTTCATGGCACTCTCACTATGAAATATATAGGTATATATCATGGAACAGTTGAGCTTGTTCCTCTGATTAACCTCACTCTGTGGACAGGTTTTAAAATTAACTGCCTGTTCTGTTCTCTGGTATAGTGGACACTGAGAGACACTGGCCTAAGGGAGACAGACTGACTCAGGGAGAAGAATTAATGG